TCCTGTGCCTTTTACAGCATGAGAGGCCAAACTTCAACATATACCACTTTCTCTATTAATGCATTTCCATCTCAAGCAAGATGGCACCTGTCAAGTTTCTGCTTCTTGTGCAATTGTTCCAAGCACAGACATCTGACCATAAAAAAAGCAACAATCCTATGGGGCAGCCTAAAAAAATCTGGAAACCTGCCACTGTGATAAAAGCTTGAGACATGCCTCACAGAACTCAGTGGCACACACTGCAGTGCTCCCAAGACACTGTTCTGTAATTTTCACAAAGGAGACTAGGTCAGTCCCAAACTTTTAACAAGACTGACTCCACTAATAAGCAGTGTGTGGCACTGGCCACAGGTGACGCATGCTACTGGCTGGCACGTTTTGGAGGACAGTAGTCCGTGCATCATGATCTTTACTGCATTCCCTGAGCTAGTTTGCTACCTTCAGCGGCAGTAGGAGAAGCTGTTTCATCATCCGTGGCGAAGTTAAGATTCAATTACCAGTGCACTGAGCCTTTGTTCATTGAATGGGGAAGGAGGGAGGGGAGGTTTTGTCTTTTGCCTCAGGCAGCAACATTTGCTTGGCCAGCTCTGTTTCTAAGGCAGTGAGAAATCAATGGGAAATGAATAATGAGTCCAATTCATTTTGCTACCTGAGACAGAGCAGCAAATTATGTTCCACATCCATCCAGGTCTAGTTGTATAATGGCTAAGCCCTGACAAATTATTTTAGTACACTTGACACTTGGGAAAGTTACTTTTGGAGACTGGGAAGGCCATAATCTCCCAGCCAACATGGTCAGCTGTGATCTCAAAAGTAACTCTTCTGTGCTCATCTATCAGGCAGAAAGTATCTCTCCCCATTTTGGGATTAAAAATACATGAATATTAGATTAAGTAAGTAACAATTTGCTTTCCTTTCATGACGCTCAAACTCTGTTGCCTGAAATGAGTGCCTCACTCTGCCCAATGACCGGGTTGGTCCTGGTTAAAAGCTCCAGGAGTGTTACAAGTGAGCTGAACACGCCCCAAGAAATTGGCTAGTGACGCATTTTCTGGAGCAAGCACTCTTTGGCAAACATTCAGGCTTGCTTACTCAGTTATACGCCAGTGAGAAACTCATGTAGTATTTCCAGCAGACTGCCAGTACCAGCCAGACAGCTTCTATTAAGCATTATGACCTTCTTCAGCTACAGAAACCTGATACCACTAGACTCAAAGCTTATTCTTCAAGCTTGCAGTTTCCATCCTGGAATGTTACTTTTAACTACAAGTCCTGCGGCCACAACGTGTAGCCTGGATGATGTTTTGGACTTTTGCATCCTCCCTGGCCACCATTAATTCTCTAATCCCCTGTCTGATGAAGGGTCCTGCAGGACCTGAAATGTTAGTTTTTTATGTTACAATGGTTTAGTTTAGTGATCTCTTATTATCTAACCTTAATTTGTGTATACAGATCTAAGCTTGAGGAGAGTGTGTATCTTAGATTACATTGAGGGAGTAGCAGTTTCTGCTCCATGCCAAGAAGCAGCTCAATATAGCCAAGGGCTCAGACAAAAGCTCAGAGAAAAGTGCCAGGGTCCCACGATGGATGCAATGCACCCTCAGTCTTGATTCCTGATTCATGTGTGTGCGCATGGTTTGCATTTACACAGCGATATGAGAATGGCACTTTATACATGTTCACAGATATTTGTTCATTCAGCTAACAAAAACCTTGTCTAGTAAAAAACTTGATACTAAAAACAAGTTCAGGCCTGATTCTGTGTAGAATCCACTTTTCTTTCTGATTTCCTAGTTTAATGATTGACCTTTAGCTTATAACATATTAGTGTGTGTTGAATATTAAATGTTGGTCTATGCATGCTTCAGATTTTTAAAAAAAATCAAAACTATTTGGGGAGACTGAGCAACAAGTGCCATGTTCTGGGCAGAGCTTGGGATGTTACTTTGTGGACTACAGCTCCCAGAATCCTTGTGGTCTGAAAAAGCAACATGTCTAAGCTCTGATACAGTTGGAGGGGGTTTGGGGAAATAAAGGAGCAATGCTAAACATTATGCTTTAGGAAATTCTGTAAGGCCAGTGAGGTGTCATAGTTAGAATGTTGAAGCAGAATTCAGGAGATCTGGGTACAAATACCCCTCAGCCATGAAAATGGCGGGGTGACGATGACCCAGTCACCTTCTCTCAGGCTGGCCTACCTCAGAAGACTGTTGTGGGGATAAAATGGAAAGAAGCAAAGTCATGTATGCTCCTGTGAGCTCAGTTGAGAAAAGGTGGTATATAATGTGCAAATAAAATAATAAAACAAAAAGACTATTTTTACTAGAAATTGAAACCTTTTCCACATGTGGATGATGACTGACAGCACAATGCACATCTGTTCTCAAATCCTTCTTGTTTCTTCTTACAGGAACTTGAAAATGTGGATAAAATAGCAGCAAAATCCTTCAGCTCTACACCACCCCCCCACGCACAAACATATGTTTTTATGTGCCCATGCATATTAGTGCACAGTAAAGTTCATGTTCCACAATTTAGTTGCCCTTTAGCACTCCTGAAGGGGAGGTAGGCTTATCCACAACTCCAGTGCATCTCTGTAGGTGTTATGCCTACTAACTTGAGGTCACACACAAAAAAGTTTTCTTAAACGTATTTATTGTGGTACAAACCTTTGTGGATTAAAAACTGTTTCATTACCTACATGGCTTACGTACACAATGAAGTGGTTTCTAATAAATCTGTTACTTTTAAAAAAGATATGACAAGACTTCTCATTTGGTTTTCTGCAACATACTAACATGGCTCTTTCCCCTCTCGTTCTGCAGAAACCATAAACTGAGTTAGAGATTGTGAGTATCAAAAGAGGACTGTAGTAATTTCTTCTGAGTTTATTAAAGCAGCGTACAAAAGTGTGATCTTGGGGATGTGGTGGCATCCATGTATATATCTTTTAAGCACGGCTGAGTTATTAGCAGTGAGAAGAGGCACGTGGGAAAGAGAGAGAGACAGAGAGACAGAGATGGATCTGTAACTGGATGCAACATGAAAAGCAGTTCTGCGGAGGCTAGGCTTAATTATGAAATTCAATTAGAAAACGTCAAGAATTCTTTGCTGGTCTCCCTCTGGCAGGATTAACTGGTGCTATCTCAAAGGGACAGTTTGATTAAGAAGCAGCAGATTATAGAGGTGGTGGACAAGGAGGTTATGGAGAAGGCAGCTCCCTTTTTTGGTGGGATATTCCTCACATCTCTGTTTTAGTTTTTATTATCTTAAAAAAAACCTTTTAAAAATGACCTGCACAACAACATGGCCCCATTTTGAAATATCCCAGAAAGTGGGGAAAGGGCTTCAAATATCTGCAGAGTATTTTTTTGTATTAATAATAATTTTAAAATAATCTCACTGGACACATATCAGCTGATTCATGTACATTGTACATTATGTCTCTGTCTATATTCATTTTCTTTTAAAATTAAAGAGACAGGTGTATTAAATATTAAGCATAAAGTATAGTGGATTTCCTGGGAGAGGAAGAGATTTTAGTAGAATGGACTTAAACTGCAAGCAGAGGTCCTGTTACTTAGAAGTAGTTCTCACTGGTTTCAATCAGGCTTATTTCTGAGTAAGCACACATAAGATTATGGTGTAAAACTATAATGCGGATCCAGATCAACCCAGAGTTTTACACTGCAACAGGAGTTGGCAGGTTCTTGCCAAATAACCTCTTTCTTCCTCCTCCTCCACTTAGTTTGCAAGTAGGTGGCAAGTAAATGACAGGAGGGGGTTCCTTAAAGGGAAGGGAAGACTTTTTCATAGGAACATAAGGTTCTTTGGAAGAGAATTGATCTATAAATTACATCTTCTGTGTTGATGGATGGACACTTCAGTTTTTGTGCTCTGTGTATGTGTGTGTGTTGGGCAGGAGGTGGGAGCTCTTTATGACAGCCTGGATGGGGGAGGGGAAAGACAGGACTTCTGAACCCAAACCCCTTCTACACAACTAGAAAAGGAACAGATGACCTACCCCCCTCCCCACTTTTTTTTGCATCTGGCATCTTAGGCACCCCTATCTGTGAAGCCCTCGACTCTGCAAAAGGGAGCTCTACAATCTAGATCCAAAAGCTTATAGGTTCCGTATTTCATGTTATCAAATCTCACTCCTGGGAAAGGGCTTCGAAGAGTTACCTGGGGAATGTATGTCACTCATGTCCCCCATAACCCTTGGAGGGTTGTGCAGTTTTTTGGAGGGAGACTGTCTCATCCCTTATCAAGAATCCAGTACAGTACTTGCAGTTAACCCAAGATTTCTATAGATCCAATGAATGAACCTCACTATAGCAGACCTGCTGAACTAAATAGATGCAATCTTCAGCGGAATCTGGTGAAGGGGGCCGCGGTCCACAATAGTTTATGCCGGACGAAATGGGCTAATCTTTAAAATACCTTAACAAACTAAGACAGGTGGCTTCCTCGAAATTTCTATACGGTTTCAAATACCAATAATCATGGCTACTCAGAAGTAAGTCCCTTTGAGCTCCATAGGGATTACTCCCGTGTAAGCAGGTTTAAGTTTATAGCCTAAACGGACCGAACAACATGCCCCCAATTTCTTCCCCTCTCTACTTCAGAGGAGATACGGGTGGAAAGATGCCTAGCAGTCAAAGCCATTGTCTGATAATTAAGAAATTCTTTACTCAGACAAAGAGAAACTTTCTTCAAGCTACTGTAATTTCATGAATTCTTTAGGGTTTGTGATGGAGGCATCACAGCATTTCTTTAAGTAAATAATTAACTCTAATGATGTTAACATAATAATTACGTCTACTATTATGTTAGTTTCTAAAACTCTTGTCTCGCGCTTTAACTCGAAAGAAAGAAGGAAGGGTGGCTTCTTTTTTTCTTGCAGCGAAGACGGGGATCGGGAAATGCCCGCTCCCTCCCTCCCTCCCTCCTTCCTTCCTTCCTTCCAGCCCGGCCCTATAGGGGCAAGGCCCCTTTACCTGTCCGTTCTTGCAGAGATCTGCCCACATGCTGGTGCCGTCTCCGCCGCGCATCAGGACGTGGTAGGTGAAAAAGTAGGTGCCCGGGATGTTGCAGGTGAACTTGCCGGTGGCGGCGTCGTAGTTGTTGCCCAAGTTGGTCACCACATCGTCGAACTTGAGGATCTCGTAGCCCTCGTGCGGGTTCTTGAGGCCGGCATAAAAGGCCACGCGGGGCACCATGGTGTAGGTGGCCGTGCTAATGGCCCCCGTGCCCAGCCCCGGACCGGGCAATCCGGGGGGCCCGGGCTTCCCTGGGTCCCCTTTCTCGCCCGGAGGACCCATGGCACCCGGGGGCCCCGGTTCTCCCGGAGGGCCCGGAGGCCCCGGTTTGCCAGTAGATAGTGGGAATGCTCTAGATCAGTGGTTCTTAACGTGGGCGATAATGCCCCCCAGGGGCCGATTTCATTTTTCAGGGGGGTAGTAGAACGAAAAGGGGCGGTGTGGGAGCGCTGGAGCAGAAGGGGGGCAGTAGGGGGGCGTTGGAGCAAGCTAAATCTGTGAAGATGGCTGCAGCCTTTTTACAGTGTGCATGAATATATATTTTCCTCCAATCTTAATTTAGTTTCAAAGGTTTTGTCTTGAAATTTTTAGTTCCTGCATTGCGGTTCGTTTTTATGCCCTTTTTATATTTCTTTTTGCATCTTAAAATTCGCTTACAACTAAATCATTAAATGTTACTTTTGGGGAGCATTTCATTTTCTTGGAATTGAATTTTGTTTTCAGGGGTCATTGGATTTAAGTGGCCGTTGCTGCTGCCGCTGAGACCTTCCGCCCCTTCGGTTCGGATGCTGGCGCTGGTGGTGGTCTTGCCCAGGTAAGGGTCGCAGACCATGCGGCAGGTGCCCAGCATCTCGTAATGCCCGTCGATGCCCACGGAGTTCACCAGCACCGGGATCAGGATCACTAGGATCAAGATCATCACCACCCCGATGGCCGCGGCGATCAAAGTTTTCCGGCCAATGCTCAGCCGCTGGAGGGGCTGGACGCGTTGCCTCCCCGTGGTAGAAATGGTGACGGATGGCCGGGGCAACCTGGCGAGAGAAGAGAGGAAAAA